TCCGATCTGAATGCAAGCAGAAAATCTTTTGGATGAGAATTTTACCTGACATCAGTAAGCTGAGTCAATGGTACATTAATATAAAAACCATATCAATTTTGACAGAAAGGTTACCAAGTCTATGTTTACAGGACAGAAAAGAAAGTAGCTGCATAATATATTTGTTAAACTAGAATGATTCGGTTGCATGCCTGAATGTTTTTATTTTATAAGCCAGCTGTAAGGCTAAGCTGCAATAAGATGATGATCATGGTAATATAATTACTAATACAAGGTTAGCCAAAGTGATGGTGAGGCCAAGAAAAATTAGACGCCTCAGTGTGAGTCAACACATTCATTTTCCAAAGAGTTTGGCTGCATGAGGTAGATAACACAGTGTTTATAAGGTACAGGTAGCAAGGTGGTTCCTAATAGCTTTCAGACTATATTATCTTGTTCTGCTGTATCATGATAAAGCAATAAAGGTAAAGAGAGAAGCAAGCTGAAGCCTTATTGAAAACACCTATTTTGTCCCAATAATAAAAGAGCTTAATAAAGGCTAAATGCTATTTGCTATTAAATTAATTCCATAACCAGATGTAAAGTATCAGGGCCATGAGCACCCCCCCCGTGGCGGTTGAGCTGCCTGTGTTGGAGGCCAGTTCTGACACACGCTTAGGCGTGTAGCTTCAGAGGAGACTGCTGTGAAAAGAGCTGTGTGAAGCCTCTGCCAGGCCCTTAAACCTTTGCTTGGGAGCTGGATTTAAGCAGAGACCCTTGCCCTTGGTCCTTGACTGAGCTACACTGCAGCTGTACCTCTGCCTGGCCACGTACCTCACTCATCTGAACCCTGCCCTTAACTGGCCGATTTGACTTTGTGCCTTGATCTCAGACCTTCTTCATCACTACAGACTTCCTGGGTGATCACTGTGCTGCTGGCTGACCCTGCGTAGTGCCACTGAACCCAGTCCTGTCCCTGACTTGACCTTCTGGCCTCGATCTTGGACCTACTTCATGACCCCAGACTTGCCAACTAGACCTGCTCTGCTTTTGTTTGGGTACTGTGGGACTGAGCTCCTTGCCGGTGAGGTCTCTGCCCCTGCCTGCTTTGCCATCACCTGCAGCTCCTGGCTTGTCTTCCCTTACAGAGTAACCTGCTTATGCTGCTCCCCAGCATAAAATTCAGATATGAGCCTGGCAAAAGTAACAACTATTATCCAGATCCTGTCTAATGGGAATGTAATATGGAAATCACATTAGTACGAAGTTACTCTACCATAATACGCAATATGAACAAAATAACAGATCAAATCCATTTCACTTTACACCCTCTGCTTGTTTTACATGCTGTCCAGCATTCCTTCTCTGTCTCCCTTGTCAATAATGCTTACTCTGCTCAAACACTGAAACAAACCCTATGCGTTGTTACTCTAAACTATTAATTCAGCGTGGATCACATCCCCACTCTGCTGGCTTTCAGCAGAGCTATAGATACTTGAATCAGTTCCGAATTAGATCCAAAGGTTAAAACGTGGTTAAGGGGCCCATTTTCAGAAGAGATCAACTCACACCAGTCTTAAGTTTCACTGAAAATTTGGGTGGTGGAGGGCAGAAGGAAAAAAAAAATATCATTGCAAAAAATCATGTTCTTCCATGCATTTTTAAAAATAAGAGATGGGCCAGATTACAAAAGTATTCACCTAAAGACACAGACTTGACAGGCAGAATGAACCCACTGATTTCCAGAACTTAGTGCTTGCATGTCTTGAAAATACCACTGGATATCAGCCCCTTCTTCAGATGCTGAAGTACCTCTGGAAGTTCATTCTTAATCTAAGTTACCCGCACTGTTTTGAAAGTGTTCTTCCCAAACCCGATTCTCATTTATACTCCTGCTTCCCACAGAGTGAAGCTGAGTACAGAGTTTGACTGAACTAGGTTAAGAAAAAAAAAAAAAAAAAAAAAAAA